TTCAAATACCTTCCTTCAACTAAGAAGAAATTTTCAGAAGATGCTTTGTCTGGCACAAACAAAACACGGCAACAAACGCAAAGACACTGGGTTTATGTTGGGGAATGTAAGGTCCCTGTGCAGGGTGCCTTGTTTAAAGGGAGTTCCACAAGCCCCCAGCTTTTTAAAACCATGTCCAGTGTTTGTAAAATGTAAATAAATGATAAAACTTTAGATTATAAAATATTTTGCATGTTTATTGTAAAAACAACAGTGGTAAACAATATGAAATAACTTTAGTGCGGTTATTGTGTTAAAAATACAGGATTTTTTATATAATACATTATATACAGTTTGGTCTCTCAGGCCCCAAAGTTAGTGGGAATAAAAAAAAATTGAAAAGAAAAAAAAAAACAACAAAAACCCCACAAAAAAAAAGTAATGCGGGGATGTGGAATTCGTCAATTTTTTGCCCCCCCCCACATCTTTTTTTGACAACTTCTTGGCATGTCCCCGGTAAGTACTGATCAGATTTTTTTTTTTGTCTTATTCCCTTTTCAAAAAAATAGCTCTTTAATTCTGAAAGGGGAAAATAATTTTTTTTTTTTCAAAATTTCTTGGACACGGGGAGCACCCTTCAAAATTTTGGCCCTTTGGGACCCTGAAGGGTTAACAAAGATCTTCAACACATCATTTGAAACTGGCAACTCCCCAGGTATGGAAGATGGAAAATGTAGTCCCAATTTTTTAAAAGGGAGCAGAAATGAGGCACTAAACTACAACCGTATCACTAAAGTAAGTATGCAAGGCATGGAGAAGATCATCAGGAAGAGGGGTGGGGCACCTGGAAAAAACAAGTGTAAATTTTGAAACCAGCATGGTTTCAGGGGGGGAAAATCCTGTGTCACAAACCACTAGATTTTTTATGACAAGGGACAGAAGTAGACAAGAAGAGAGGGGTGGTTCACTGCATTTTTTTGGACTGCAAGAAGGCCTTCGACACATTTTCCTCCACGAGTTACTGCAAAAGCAAAGGGGATAGGCACACAAACAGAAAGGCACTGCAAGGGATCAGAGAATACCTGAAGGGAGGAAAAACCGGGCCCAGGTACGGACGAGGTGTCAGAGGGGGTGCCTGTGACAAGCGGGGTTCCACAGGGGTCGTCCTAGGACCTGTGCTGTTCTTGGTATATTGTGAAGGGACATAAACGGATGGGATAGCTAGAAGGTCCTTGTTTGGGGATAAAGGGAAGTTAAAAACCCTTTCAGGGCCCAAAGGGCCCAAATCTGGAGTCACGCACCAGTGCCAAGAATTTTAAAAAAAAAAATTTGTTTTTTTTTCTTATAACGTAGGAATCTTTTTGTGAAGGAAATAAAGGAAAAAGTACGAAATTTGGTGGGAAAAATTGACGAAATTTTCTCTGCGAATTTGATGTGTCAGCGATATTTTTCGAAGGCGATTTTTGGCCCACTTTGACTCCCATTTTAGGCCAAAATTTCATTATTCCAGTCAACCAAATTCTTTCTATTTCACTGTATTTATTCTATTCTACGATTGAGCACAAGAAATCGCCAAGTCAACTGTTTCAAACTACAAAATAAAATGATCGGAAATTGTTAATTTGGCCCAAATTTTAACACAAAGTTCAAAATATTTCCCAATTTTTAAAATGGGTCCAGAATAAAAAATGTAGGCATTCCTGGCACTAAACAAAACTTTCCCCTGTTCATTAGTTTTGTTTTGGGGCTTTACAAATAAATTCCATTTTGATTTTTTATTCCATAATGAAATTTTTATTCACACCAAAAAATAGAAATTTACTGTTTTGCAATACGAATAATTGTATAAATATCATCACCCTTTTGTGAAAAGATATTAACCCACCAGCGGTGCGTATTGACACGTGAGGTCGTTTGTTTACCTTGAAAATCGGCAAAAATTTTTCATTTCTCTACTTTTAGCTCAGTTTCAAGCCATTTCCAGTGCAAAAAACAATCAAAATCATCCTTATTTCTGAATATGTGTCTTCCATTCTATCAAATGAGACCAAGAAATCGGCAAATTTAAAAACTTAAAAAACTACGAAAAACACTGCAAAGTTGCTGTTTTAATCGAAAAAATCAGATTTCATTTTTTTTCTCTAAATAATACACAGTGTCCCTGCAGGATCTGTTTTTAGTGGTGGCACACATAAAGATGAAATTCTCTCATATCTCAGGCCCAAAATGTACCACTCACAGTTTATCAGAGTGAGCCTGAGCTCAGGCGTAGATCTGGGTTTTTGGACCCTGAACGAAAAAGCGTAGATCTACGGGACGGACCCTGAAAGGGTTAATGAAAAAGAATCAAATCGGATGAGGATCAGGCAGGACTACAAAGAGCCCTGGACAGGCTACAAGCCGGGTTTCCAGCAACTGGCTCCTTGAGTTTAACCCTGCCAAATCCCAAAGTCATGAAGTTTTGGGGAAGGGCAAAGAAGACCACAGACAAAATATTAGTTTAGATGGCCAAAGTCTGCAAACCTCACTCAAGGAAAAAGATCTGGGGGTGGTATAACACCGAGCATATCTCCTGAGGCGCACATTAATCAGATAACTGCTGCAGCATACGGGCCCCTGGCAACCTACGGATTAGCGTTCCGATACCTCAGTAAGGATTCGTTCAAGACTCTGTATACCATTTACGTCAGGCCCATATGGGTATGCAGCACCATTTGGAATCCACCCCTTTAGTCAAGCACGTCAAGAAATTAGAGAAAGTGCAAAGGTTTTGCAACAAGACTAGTCCCAAGCTACGGGGATTGTCCTCGAAGAAAGGTTGAGGGAAATCGGCCTGACGAATATAAAATACTGCGCGGAATAGACGGGTGGAAAAAGACGGGATGTTCCAGAGATGGGACACAGACACAAGAGGTCACAATTTTGGGAAATTGAAGACTCAGATTTAATCAAAGGATGTTTAGGAAGTATATCTTCAGTCATAGAGTAGTCAAGCCGTGGAATAGCCTAGAAAAGTGAAGTAGTGGAGGCAGGAACCATACATAGTTTTAAGGCGAGGTATGATAAAGCTCATGGAGCAGGGAGAGAGAGGACCTAGGGAGCAATCAGTGAAGAGGCGGGCCAGGACTATGACTCGACCCGGCAACCACAAATAGGTTTAGCAAATCACCTGATATACTATAACCTAGACATCTGTACCTGTGCTTGTGCACAGGTACAGGTACCTGTGCTTGTGCATAGTTTGATGAGCAGATCATAAACACTTAAGCAATAAAGAAATTTATCGAGATGATTAATTGTACAAGAGGTTGAATGATTCGAGTTTTCATACACGGTAAAGCCAAGTAATATATGAAAAAATTAATTTAAAAATTATGTATTCCATTAACATGGCAAAAATCAAGAACAAATTATATAAAATAATGCAGCATTTTATGTTTTCAATTGCTATTACAGTATCATTATATTAATAGTATATAATACCGACAAGTTGATGCACAAAACATTCATAACGCCTGCTTGTAGAGTACCATACTTAGCTTTGCTACATTAGTCTGTCCTGTAATTAGACTTTTCTTATTTGTCAAGGTTTGTATTGATAGGGGTCGTCCTCTAAAAGGTTGGAGGGAGGGGGTAAAGGAGGTTTTGTGGGCGAGGGGCTTGGACTTCCAGCAAGCGTGTGTGAGCGTGTTACATAGGAGTGAATGGAGACGAATGGTTTTTGGGACCTGACAAGCTGTTGGAGTGTGAGCAGGGTAATATTTAGTGAAGGGATTCACGGAAACTGGTTATTTTTATATAGCTGGACTTGAGTACTTGAAATGGGAAGTAGAATGTCTGCACTTTAAAGGAGGGGTTTGGGATATTGGCAGTTTGGAGGTATATGTTATGTATCTTTATATATGCTTCTAAACTGTTGTATCTAGGCACATCTGCAAAAACAGTGATGATGTATGAGTGAGGTGAAAGTGTTGAATGATGAAAGTATTTTCTTTTTGGGGATTTTCTTTCATTTTGGGTCACCCTGCCTTGCTGGGAGACAGCCAACTTGTTGAAAAAAAATATATATATATATATATATATAATTTTGGCTCTTTCTACCATCAGGGTGATGAGGGTAGTCCACTGATGTGTCGGAGTGAGACTGGTGCATGGCGGCTTGAGGGACTCCTAACTCACCATGCCCGGTGTGGCCGAGCAAGGCATCCAGCTGTTTTTACAGCTCTCCATGCCCTTCAGCCTTGGCTTAGTAATACCATAGGTACTCCCTATGTGCCTAGGTTTACTACTACTACTACCACCACCACCACTACAACTACTACCACCACCACAACTACCACCACCACAACTACTACCACTACAAGGCCCCCATCTCAACAGTTTGCTGAAGCCACCAATTCCACAGACATCAACGAGTCATTACCACCAGTGTCATCTCCAGGCAATGCTCCACTATAGCACCTACTGGGTTCTAGTAAGGTTTTGAAAGGTGCCATATGTGCTATGAAAGTGCTATAATATGTGCTAAACCATTAATTACAAGAAAAAACTTCAAATTGTTATTATTCAATGCTGTGATCATAAAGTATCTGTATTTAGTGATAAAAGACAATTACTTATTGGACATTAACGACTTCAACAATAATTATAAGTCAAGGCTAACTACAGAAGAGGACTGATTATGGTGGCCAATGCAGAACCCTTGCCTTTGGGGCATTTTGATAAATACATTTTCATTATATTGAGCTCCTGAACTTGTTAATACAAAATGGTATGCTGGGATCTCATCTCATTGGTGCTGAGGAATTTTTGCAGCAAAGTTCTAAATGTTGAGTGGCAAAATATATATTTAGTAGAAAATGCAATTTGTTTAAGGTTTATGATACAGGATAGTGAATACTTTATAAATGAAGTGAACTTTGTAAGAAAACACACTAATTGAAATATAGTGTTTAGAATGCCATGATCATTGACACAAACACTTAATAGATATGTAAAGGCAGAGTGTAACTATTAGTGTGTTAACAAACAATTCTATGAAAGAAACCGAACAAACGTATAAATAGAGAAACTGAAGCAGATGCTGTACTAGTGTTAACCAAATACAATACTTTAAGGTGAATGATATATCCTGTTTTCTCTTCAGAAAATTGGAGGTTGTTGTCATACACAGACCAAATTAATGCATTTATGAAACTGGACCATTAAGAGTGAGACTGTGTTGTTTTATTGTGGCCATGTGATTGATAGGTTGTGTGTGTCTGGGAGTCCTGAGCTTAAGGCTGTGATTTACAGAGGCCAATTTCCCATCCAAATCATAACACAGTCTTAAGACCCAGAACCACCAATCACATTATATATACATAACACGGGTATGAAGCAGTCACTAGTGTACTGTAGAATAGGATCCAGGCCCATCCGTGCCAGGGTGCAAGGACCACCTGAGAACTTGGGTACAGGATATAATGATTGCCTGATCATTAGGCTGTAAAAATACACAGCTTGTGATAGCTAGGGCAGATAGCACAAAACACCAAATATTGCCCAGGGTGGGCATAAAGTCCATTGACAATGAAATTACAACACATCTCTATACATTGCCCTCCATTCTCAACATGTGTCCTGTTTGTGTATTCTTAATCATTTTCTATGCTGAAGGATAGCTGTCATAAAGAGGGTTTCCAAATGACTGCTTTAGGTCTTCAGCATTCATTAGCTAGGGTTACTAAAGCATGACCCTAGTAAATTATCACATCAAGACTAGGCTTAGAGGTGGCAATGACACATCAGAATCTCATCCAGTTTGTCATCCACTAAATGAGTAGAGGTATTCTTGAAATGCAAGAGCATAATATGTTGTGGCTGCAAGATGCATGTTGATTAAAGATTCCTGATACAGAGCTAACTATATCCCCATCATTTTCAGATATGCTGTGATCAGTACTTCCTAACTCAAAGTCTGGACCAATTTACTGAACAAAAAAAAAAAAAAAAAAGGGAAAATGCAGAACAAGATTTTTATTTGGACTGTTTTTCTTAAGGTTGATCTGTATTTATCAAGCTATGACTTGATAAAGCTCAATCCTGAAAAAAAGTCCCAATTAGAGCTTGTTCTGCATTAACAGAATATATTGTAAGTAAACATTGATTATCATGTAAATGGACTGTGCCCATCCTGTAGTTGGACTTATTAGTCTAAAGAACATTTAACAGCTGGAGTATAAGGTGCAAGTACCACCTGGTATCTAATTGGCAAGATTACTGTAAGGAGGTCATTTGATAATTTAGGGTGCAAAGTATGAAAAGTGCCTGATAATTCCAGTGTAATATAAATGTATTGCTTAATGATACAATGCAAATCCATATAACATGATGCATACTCTAGAAGTCTACTTGACTACCAGATTTAGAAGTCAGAGAGGCTCTACTGTGAGGCTACAACTTTCTAGCAGGATATAAGGATTCTAGCTACTGAGACAGTTGGCCTTAGAAGTCTGATATTTTAGGCAAGATTTTGTAATTTGATTTCTTAACATAAGATGTAACACAAAACTTGCCAGCATGAGATTACAAATTTAATAAATATTTTCAGAAGACAATGGTGAAAAAATTGTCATTAAAACACGAGGGAGCAGTACTTACAGTAAATAAGGAGAAAAAAAAAAGCTGTTTTTTATTAATAATTTTGGAAAAGGCATATGAAAGGCAAATGCATAGAGTGCGGGGTAAATTATTAAGCTAGAAATGACAATGTGTTTCAGTAAAAGTTGGTCTTAAACATGGATGTGCTATATTGCCTGTGTGAGCTTATAGATAAGTTGCAAGTAGATGCTACAGTGCTAAGGAGAGGAATGATCTTGAAAGCTAACAGATCTGACAAAGTGGAAGTTTTCAGAATTGTTATTTGCCAATGGGTCTTATTAGGAGATTCAGAAGCTGTAGAGATTAGAGGAAACTGGAAGTGCCTATATAAAATATTGAAAATAATTAGAGGTATATTTAGATATTTTAATTGGAGGCGGGGTGTTTAACCCATAGGTGTCAAATAGTGCCAGGGGAATGGGTGGCAATAAAGTTTAATCTAAGGAAAGGGAAGATAGGTCCAGTTCCCTGAATCAAGCTCCTCACCATCAAGACACCTCGCTTCAGTGAAGAAGTATAGTGAATGAAAGATTGAAGGGCAGGTTGGGAACAAGCAGGAGGGAAGCTAGTGCATTTAGATATTTAGAAGTGGATGTATCAACAGATGGGGCTATTAAGAATAAGGTAAATCACGTAGGGTAAAAAAATTCATGAGTGTTGCTGTATTACGGAAAGAATGAAATTTATTACTGCAGAAAGAGAAGTATATCTGAGTACAGTGGTAACAAAAACTTTTGTAAGGATGTAACTGCCTACTTGCAGCTGCAGGAGCTGCTGTTTGTGGTGACCAGTCTTCAATATAGTATTTTATCAAATAATTGTTTAAAATTTCCAGTGGCTGTAGCTCATACTACCTCTTTTTAAAATGAATTTCAAGTAGTAGAGAATGTGAGTTTCAAAAAAATGTGTACCATAAGACAGAACTGAAGCGAATTATTATCACCACCACAGGGAATCAATAAACTAATGGAAGTGAAGGAGTTACCATCTGATACTTTGGGCCCCTCCCTTGAAATCTCTAAGTAATGACTTAATGTATGTAAGAAAAATTAATATGTGTTTCAGAAACTTACCTAAAAAAATATTTTACCATGTAAGGAATAGATGGGTACTGTGTATAGTCCCTAAAATGTTGGTGCTAACCTTTTATTTTTTATAAAGTGAACATACTTCACAAAACATGCCCTGTTCTCTTGTTTTGCAGAAAAACCATGTTAACTACCAGATGGTTCAGAACAAGGGATCTCACTTACCATATTGTGTGTGGAGAGTTATTTCATTCATTTTTTTTATTTATATCAGTTACCCTGACCAGTAAAACTCCATATATAACTGGTAGTTCTTGGAGGGTCAAGTGTATCATCTCATGGTCGAGATGGACCTGCTGTCTTCTGGCTGTTTATGGCTCATATTCCCATTGTTTACACAAGACAGTTACCCATAAAGACACTGTTTAGAAGTTTAACAAGAACTGCTTGCAAGACTTCAAGTATTTTACAATATCAAATATTCTGTGCTCATAATGTACATAGTCTTGTATAAAGTGTCATTTATCTTATCATTTATATTTTACTTCTTACTTGTCTTTTAAGTGTTTCTCATAACACTTTTCATTTTATAATTTTCGAGAATTGTGATATTACTTAGCAACAGGTTTGAATTATACTGTATGTGAAAAGCTCAAGTAAGCTTAGGAAATTAAACTATAGTGTAACACTGACAACTCCACATGTCAGTATTGTGTTGTTGCTCTCTTGAGCAGAGAGTATTGTCCTTGTCTTCTAAGTCTTGTATTATTCTCTCAGCAGAATATCGTCTTCTGTCACTATTATACCTCTATTACTCTTCCTCTTTTTTATTACATTATTTCTGAAATATCCTTTAATTTTATAAGTAACTGTTATGATTTGTTTTTAGTAATTTATTAAGCAGTTTTATGAATATATTTGATGTAGGAAATAAATTTTCATGGACAAAGTGTTCTCTCTGCCTGTTTCACAAAATATGTAATATGGCATGAAAATATGCCATACTGAGTACTGGATCATTATAAGAAAAGAAATTAAGTACTGTAATACAGTACGTATAATATTTACTAATAATATAACTTGAAAACATTTAAGACTAACAAGGCTTATGAAGTGCAGTCCAACTCTTACTACATTTAATCAGGTTAGAATACAAGAAAACAATGTGAACATACTTGTAGGTGCAGTATTTTAAAGGATGACAAAATTTATTATTCTATGTATTTGTGTACATAAATACACACACACACACACACACACACACACACACACACACACATACATACATACACATACATACACATGCACATACATACATGCAAACACATACAAGGGAGAGAGCAGGTGTCATAAATAAACAAGCCTTTAGCAGACTATTTGCCTGACACATTCAAGAAATAACAGGGCAACTTTTGTACGGAAAATAGTGCTCCTTAACATGCTGCTAACTATATAAAGAATTGGCTGAATTATGATTTTTCCATGCTATAATAACTGACCTGCATATTCACTGGACTTAAATCCAATAAAGACCATTTGGAAACTTATTAAACACAAGCTTCGTGGCAGGGACATGTCTTCTAACCCCAAAATCTCAAGTGCCATTAAACAAGTGTAGGACGGTATTTACTCTTCTATTCTCCAGAAATTAGCCTTATCAGTGCCTAGGAAACTTTAAGGAGTGCATCAAGAGGAAGTTACATCATACAAAATGCCAGTATAGGTGAGGAACACAGACATATTTCAGCATTATGTATTTAAAACAATATGTTATGGTAAGCAGTCTTGCTTTCCATCATCTGTTTACACGCATGCGTACACACACACACACACTCGGACTCGACCCCTGCAACCTCAACTAGGTGAGTACATACATACATACACACACACACGTATGCACCTACACACACATATATACATACAACCAAAAGGTCCATACAATCATTCATCATATGGAATTAATGTATTTTATTTGATTAAAGCAATTTAATTTTTGTATTCTTGTAAGCTCAATACAGTGATTTTCTGGATAAGAAATTCACTTAAATTTTTTAATTTGTACTGAGAATGTGAACTTTTTTGTGTAAGAAGTACTCACGATTGATCTGCTGACCTCACCAATGCAAGACCACCACTATAACAACCTACAGGTGGAAAATTTTGCCCAAATCATATTTTTACATAAAGATCTACACCATACCTGTTTCACAATGTTTTTACTATCATTCTCTACATTCATCTTTCCTCTCAATGAAATGATACAACACTATAATAAAAGCAAACATTTTTGTGCAAGAAGCACTATGGTCTCAAAGAATGAAAATTGATGATGATTTTGGTACTCGTAGCATAACCGTTTCATTGGTGATCTTGTGTCAGTGAGATTGCTGGATCATTTTCTTATATTTACAAAAAAATATAAACTACTGTATATAAACACACACACACACACACACACACACACACACACACACACACACACCATTTTAGCTTTGATAAAAATGTTTCAGCAGTAATTTACTATAATTTTTAATAGCCTGGAATAAGTTTGTGTCTAGCAAATACTGTTTTGTCAAAGACTTGTTTTATAAACAGCAATATTTTTTAATGAATATAAAATCTGTTTACTCATAAATGAACTTTTACTCAGTGCCTTGAACTTGTGATGTGTCCAAAACATGTCTGATATTAATGTAGGCTATCCAGAGATTTTCATTATATCTAGGATTGGTCATATCATAATACAGGATTTATTATTGTATCCTTAACTTGATATAACACATCCTAGACTTTTCTAAACATACCCTGTTGCTCTGTGTTGTATATTGTGGCCAAAGCTGTGCGTTCTTTTCCCGCCCCTCCCACAGTATAGGACCCCTATAGTGTAAGGTGCCATGTAAGACAGTCATACAAAATAAACTGTTCATATGATGTTGCATTTTTTCCCTAAAGAAGCTTATAGAAAAATTTAGATGTTTTCATCTGTCCAAGGATCCTATACAGTATACATACATGTATATCAATACCAACACTGACTACCCAAGGACTCGAACCCATGATGTTTTGGCCCGCCACATGGTGAGCGAAAATCACATGATGCTCTAACCCACAGGACCACCAAATCATATAAATATATATTTTTTTTTTTTCAACAAGTCGGCCGTCTCCCACCGAGGCAGAGTGACCCAAAAAAGAAAGAAATGCCCAAAAAGAAAATACTTTCATCATCATTCAACACTTTCACCACACTCACACATAATCACTGTTTTTGCAGAGGTGCTCAGAATACAACAGTTTAGAAGCATATACGTATAAAGATACACAACATATCCCTCCAAACTGCCAATATCCCAAACCCCTCCTTTAAAGTGCAGGCATTGTACTTCCCATTTCCAGGACTCAAGTCCGACTATATGAAATTAACCAGTTTCCCTGAATCCCTTCACTAAATATTACCCTGCTCACACTCCAACAGATCATCAGGTCCCAAGTACCATTCGTCTCCATTCACTCCTATCTAACACGCTCACGCACGCTTGCTGGAAGTCCAAGCCCCTTGCCCACAAAACCTCCTTTACCCCCTCTCTCCAACCCTTTCGAGGATGACCCCTACCCCGCCTTCCTTCCCCTATAGATTTATATGCTTTCCATGTCATTGTACTTTGATCCATTCTCTCTAAATGACCAAACCACCTCAACAACCCCTCTTCTGCCCTCTGACTAATACTTTTATTAACTCCACACCTTTTCCTAATTTCCACACTCCGAATTTTCTGCATAATATATACACCACACATTGCCCTTAAACAGGACATCTCCACTGCCTCCAACCGTCTCCTCGCTGCATTTACCACCCAAGCTTCACACCCATATAAGAGTGTTGGTACTACTATACTTTCATACATTCCCTTCTTTGCCTCCATAGATAACGTTTTTTGACTCCACATATACCTCAACGCACCATTCGCCTTTTTTCCCTCATCAATTCTATGATTAACCTCATCCTTCATAAATCCATCTGCCGACACGTCAACTCCCAAGTATCTGAAAACATTCACTTCTTCCATACTCCTCCTCCCCAATTTGATATCCAATTTTTCTTTATCTAAATCATTTGACACCCTCATCACCTTACTCTTTTCTATGTTCACTTTCAACTTTCTACCTTTACACACATTCCCAAACTCATCCACTAACCTTTGCAATTTTTCTTTAGAATCTCCCATAAGCACAGTATCATCAGCAAAAAGTAACTGTGTCAATTCCCATTTTGAATTTGATTCCCCAAAATTTAATCCCACCCCTCTCCCGAACACCCTAGCATTTACTTCCTTTACAACCCCATCTATAAATATATTAAACAACCATGGTGACATTACACATCCCTGTCTAAGACCTACTTTTACCGGGAAGTAGTCTCCCTCTCTTCTACACACCCTAACCTGAGCCTCACTATCCTCATAAAAACTCTTTACAGCATTTAATAACTTACCACCTATTCCATATACTTGCAACATCTGCCACATTGCTCCTCTATCCACTCTATTATATGCCTTTTCTAAATCCATAAATGCAATAAAAACTTCCCTACCTTTATCTAAATACTGTTCACATATATGCTTCAATGTAAACACTTGATCTACACATCCCCTACCCACTCTGAAACCTCCTTGCTCATCTGCAATCCTACATTCTGTCTTACCTCTAATTCTTTCAATTATAACCCTACCGTACACTTTTCCTGGTATACTCAGTAAACTTATTCCACTATAATTTTTACAGTCTCTTTTGTCCCCTTTCCCTTTATATAAAGGGACTATACATGCTCTCCGCCAATCCCTAGGTACCTTCCCCTCTTTCATACATTTATTAAGCAAAAGTACCAACCACTCCAACACTATATCCCCCCCCTGCTTTTAACATTTCTGTCATGATCCCATCAGTTCCAGATGCTTTACCCCCTTTCATTTTACATAATGCCTCACGTACCTCCCCCACACTTAAAGATGGTATACCTCCCTGACCAGCGCATGAAATTACTGCCTCTGTTTCTTCCTTAACATTTAAAAGTTCCTCAAAATATTCTCGCCATCTACCCAATACCTCCATCTCCCCATCTACAAACTCCCCTACTCTGTTTTTAACTGACAAATCCATACTTTCCCTAGGCTTTCTTAACTTGTTTAACTCACTCCAAAATTTTTTCTTATTTTCATTAAAATTTCTTGACAGTGCCTCTCCCACTCTATCATCTGCTCTCCTTTTGCACTCTCTCACCACTCTCTTTACCTTTCTTTTACTCTCCATATACTCTGCTCTTCTTATAACACTTCTGCTTTGTAAAAACCTCTCATAAGCTACCTTTTTCTCTTTTATCACACCCTTTACTTCATCATTCCACCAATCACTCCTCTTTCCTCTGCCCCACCCTCCTATAACCACAAACTTCTGCCCCAATTCTAATACTGCATTTTTAAAACTATTCCAACCCTCTTCAACCCCCCCACTACTCATCTTTGCACTAGCCCACCTTTCTGCCAATAGTCGCTTATATCTCACCCGAACTTCCTCCTCCCTTAGTTTATACACTTTCACCTCCCTCTTACTTGTTGTTGCCACCTTCCTCTTTTCCCATCTACCTCTTACTCTAACTGTAGCTACAACTAAATAATGATCCGATATATCAGTTGCCCCTCTATAAACATGTACATCCTGGAGCCTACCCATCAACCTTTTATCCACCAATACATAATCTAATAAACTACTTCCAATACGTGCTACATCATACCTTGTATATTTATTTATCCTCTTTTTCATAAAATATGTATTACTTATTACCAAATCTCTTTCTACACATAGCTCAATTAAAGGCTCCCCATTTACATTTACCCCTGGCACCCCAAATTTACCTACTACTCCCTCCATAACATTTTTACCCACTTTAGCATTGAAATCCCCAACTGCCAAGCCCATGATGACACTCTTCAGGTCACTTGTTCTATCTAGGCTGGAATATTGCTGCACACTAACAGCACCTTTCAAGGCAGGTGAAATTGCTGACCTAGAAAATGTACAGAGAACCTTCACGGCGCGCATAACGGAGATAAAACACATCAATTACTGGGAGCGCTTGAGGTTCCTGAACCTGTATTCCCTGGAACGCAGGCGGGAGAGATACATGATTATATACATCTGGAAAATCCTAGAGGGACTAGTACCGAACTTGCACACGAAAATCACTCACTACGGGGGTCCACTGTATATATATATATATATATATATATATATATATA